TTACTCTGTCAATAATCCTGCAAGAAAAGGTTCAATCTCCTTATATTTAGTATACACAAAGCTTTGAGTGTTTTATATTGCGTTTGGTGGTTTGGATTGGATGAGGACGACGGTGGCACAACACAAATCCACAGTCCCACTAAAGCGTTCTGAAAAAAAGGGCTACTTTAATGTCCAAAATTCTCCTCCACCTGTGTGTGTATGTGTGTGTGTATGTGTGTGTGTGTTCAAGAAAACTGCTGAGAGGAACTGTCTGGTTTAGTTATTAGTGTTAGTGACACATGGGCATACACACAAAGCAGGGGTCAAAGGCATGTTGCAGGGTGTCCATGCAGATACCTGGCATTTTTTCTGCTGGAGACAGATGTCAAAAAGTATAAAAACTGGTGACTGTACTAGAGCTGGTGTGTCTTTAGTGAAGTGTTGCTGAGACGGAGCATGTAGTTTGGTGTTTGAGAAGTATGTCCCAAAGACACCTACAGGTCCTCAGTTAAGGTTGAAAGATTTAGATATAGTACGTGTCCCTGAATCTCCCACTAAGGCATCTTAATCAAGTTGTTGTTTGTTGCAGTGTTCTCCAAAATGTGAGGATGATGCATTCCAAAACTTTTGTGAATAATTGGTCTGGACGTCTTGTGATATCCATTTGTGAAACAGTTAGTGCCTCACATATAGGCTGTGAATTTTGTACTTTTTCATGCCATTAACTTAGTAATTAGGCCTCTGATCTCAACAATTTGTCTTTCCCTTTTCCTCTTACAGGCTGGCAGGACAACCCTTCGCAGTACTTCATCAGAGGACATGGACCAACATGAGGGTAAAGAAACATGCATACATACATACATACATACATACATACATACATACATACATACAGCACTTTAGATAATGAATGGAGCTTCTGCACATTTAGTGGGGGTGATGCAAAACGCAGAATTAAATAATTGTCATCTCCTAACCCCTAATTTTTTCCCAAATCCACTGAGTTAGAAGAAAGTGTCGTTTCAATGAACACAATGAAATGTGTGAAATGCAGCCATAGTTTTGATGTGTGTTTACTGCAGAATACAATGAAAGGATTAAGCGTGTTTATATGTCCTGCTTTAGGTCCGACTGTGCGTGACAGAGTGTTGGACTCCACATCCACGAGGGACAAGATGGCCAAGTATCAGGCTGCTGCTTCTAAACAAGGCGCCACCCGCTCTGTGAGTTCAACAAGAGCTGAATTTAAACATATAACTGGGATAACAGTGGGGGGTTTTGTAAATACAGGTGTTTTCAAAGTCTGTTTTTTAACTGGGAAATACACAGCAGTTCTTTATGTAGCAGCCACTTGACACATGTGTTTGTTTCCCTCTTTTCTTCCCCTTTGTGCTTCCTCCAGGCTGCAGAGGTGCCTGCTCCAAAAACATCTGCACCAAAAACATCTGCACCATCAATTCAGAAAGACATTCCTGCACCTGAACGCAATGGTGAGTCTTAGTGGACACTCAAAGGGCATTGTTAGTGTTATTGATGCAGTTTAACCTGTAATATAACATGTACAATTGAACATACTATATTAATATTCCCAAATTACTCTGACACCGAGTATGAGACACAGTTTGGTTTGACTGCTCAGTAAAACACTGACTGATGCTTTGTCTGTTTCAGGGGACAGCAGCAGCGAGCAGCCCAAAGAGCAGCCCAAAGCACCTTGGGTGAGTCAGTCATTACAAAAAGATGGACACATTCATGAACCATCGAAAGAAATGTGCACTTTTAGCCCTTTCTAATTATGGATTTGTGTTACTTTCATTGTGTGGTTAGAAGTTCAGCGCACCGGTGAGGGAGACGTGCGTCCATTGTAAGAAGACGGTGTACTTGTTGGAGGAACTGGTCGTTCTTGAGCATGTCTACCACAAAAGTTGCTTCCGCTGTTTTCACTGCAGAAACACGCTCAGGTCAGTTGTGCACTGTCACATATTTCCTACATTTTCAACGTGATTTTGAAATGCCTCCCTGGTGGCCGACCACAAGAACCTCAAAAACAGAAATGAGCAAAATAACATCTTTGCCATTTTTCATTTCTAGTCTTGGGAACTACGCCTCTCTGCATGGCAAAATCTACTGCAAGCCCCATTTCAGCCAGCTGTTCAAAGCTAAAGGCAACTATGACGAGGGCTTCGGCCATCGGCCTCACAAGGAGCTCTGGGAGCCTCGAGCTGATGGAGAGGTAGGTGAGGAAGTGTTGACACAGAGGGAACAAGCGGCCCCAGCAGCGGTGACGCGTCCCGCTGAGACTGTCTCAGAGAAACAGGGGCCCCCGGCTGTGGAGACCTCTCAGCCGGTGAAGGTAGGAGACCTGACTGCCAGACTGGAGACACGTGTGCAGAAACCTGTCCGGGCAGAGGAGAAGCCAGAGTCTGCAGAGAAGCCGGTGGAGAAACGCAGGCTGAGGGTCGCCTGGCCCCCCCTGGCTGGTGAGGGCCCCTCTGGGACAGAAGCACTCAGTCCAGTCACAGAGGGAGTTTCTTCAAACCGATCTTGGAGAGCCAAGTGGCCCCCGGGGGACGAGGTGCCTTCATCCTTCCAGAGCTCAGACCGGACTGAGCTGAAGAGCCTGAAGAGGAGCTCTTCTCTGAAGGAGCGCATTCGGCCTTTTACAATCGCACCCAAACCCAGCGCCGCCGCCACCGCCGCCCCGGAGCCCAGGGAGCTTCGGCGCCCTCTCAAATCCCTGCTGGACTGGAGGGCATCCTTCAAGGAAAAACAGTCTGAAGAACCAGCAGTGGAGAAGAAGCCAGAGCCTCAGAAGCTGAAACGGCAGGAAAAGAAAGAAGAGCCATTGCCTCGAATACTGAGCGAAGATGAAGAAAATACAAGCGATGCCATCTCAGACGAGGCTGTGGAGACCGAGCCGCCGGAAGAGAGAGAGAAGCCATGGAAGAGAGGAACAGCAGCAGCAGAAGACAAGATGGTGGAAGAAGAACGCTCTCTGAGAAGCAACTCCCCTGATATCTCACCGTCCGCCTCTCCACCTCCACAGCCAAAGCAGGACCGCGCCTCGCAGGATGTGGGCTTCTGGGAGGAGGACAAAAAAGGAAGTGATACAGAGGAGCTGAGTGCGGAGGATATGATCAAGAGGAACCGCTACTATGACGACTCTGAGTCTGACTCTGACTCATAGAAACATCTAACAGTCCTATAGTCACCTCCAGCCACCCTATAACACTTTTTCGGTTTTGTATATTCAGTTTATAGGTAGATCACAAATGTAGCTTTGCAGGATTTTATAGTGTTATAGGAGAGTGGCGAAAAATGTGGAATAGGTGTGTGTATGTGCTTTCATATTCGATAACTGCCTTTTAATTGTTAAATTACAAAAGATTGATTTTCCTTTTTTACAATTTAATTGTATACTGTTAAATATCTAATTCAGCCTTTACACGGCTCCTGATTATACTGGAAGGTCGGCCTCTATGCATTCATTAACGTTATATTTCTGTTTTATGTTTGCATGTATTTGTCAGAGGCAAGTTTAGAAATAGCGGCGAGAGGGGGCGGGGGGCTGTGAAAGGTCCCAAGGTTGGAATCAAACCTGGTACGTTCTGTTCTGTAACTACTCCAAAGCACTCCATGCCTCTATTTAATGTAATCATCTCTTGATAATTTGATTCACCATCATTTCATTTGTAGGTAATGTGTCCAAAACCCCTTAAACTTTAGGCAGCACTTTAAGTGCTTTTTAATGACATTTAGCTAAATAGTCATTTTTACACTTTCTTAAAACCAGAAAAGACCAAATAATCTTTTACCAAAAAGCACACACCACGATGTTTTCAGGGAGTAAATGTCTGGGGGTTTTGTATCTCAAGTGCCTCGATTTAAATTGTCAACACTAGAAACAAACGTAAGACACATTAGAAAGCTCTGGATTAGATTTTAGCAACCCTAGAAATCAACTGAATTAGTTTAAAAATAACTGGAAATGTTAAAATACTTAATAGCAGTCTACTGATTTGTTAGTGAGCCTTTTTCAGTAGACCTTAATATCAGTATCCTGCAGGGGGCTCTCTGGTTTGGTGGATCATTTACCTGTTCCTGAACTCTTCTAATCACCATAGCAACATTCGGAGGAGAAAATGTGATTAATTAACGTTTCTACTGACAGCTATATTTAAGTCTAAGTAGCATATAAATCATCTCCTTGGGCCTTCTGGATTTGTGTTCAACATTTCCAAATGTGATCCACTTTATATGGTTTGTAAAACATTTTGTATTTTGTAATGTGCCTGGAACATTTGTTCGCCCTGCAGAATATTTTTTTCATAATTTGTATAATGACATAAAGGGCTTACTGTCTAAAATGTTTTTGAAACACAATTAAAATATATCAAAAAGGAAATGGAGTTTGCAGCCAATTACTTTGACTTTTAACATCCAGCACGTTTTCACTGGAGACGATTGTGTTTTACTCGATTCACGTTTCTTTACCTGCCGGCTAGGATCCGAGTATTATCTTTTTTGTATTCATGTATTGCTTAGGAGCATCCTTCATGCTATGCATTTGAGAACATACGGCCATTATAACTATGAATCCAAAGAAAATGCCCAACAAAACTGGACGATGGATATAATGTCCTTTTAAAGATCCTTTTTTAGATTTTTAAATAATTAGTACCACTGCTGTAACTTGCATAGTTTAAAACATCCAAAACAGTAACATAACATTTTTACAACATCCATTGATATTCCACTCTGAACAGCTTTAGGGTCATCACTTCTTATAAAACCTAAATAGAGCACCTGCAATGCTAAGACAATAATTACTGTGATCATTTAACTCCGGTCCGACCATGCAGTTCAGGGAAGAAAGATTCATCATACATAAATAATTTAGCAATTCAAATATCCGTTCTGCATTTTAAAAGTCATCTAAGATGATCTCATTAGCATTTTAAGTCAGTAAATGTCCAATGTCATTTGTATTAAACTTAATGCAAAAGAAAAGGCCAAAGCAGGGTGTGAATATTTTATTTTAAATGATTTTTGGCATGTTTACCCGATTGCTTTAAGGGAAAAGAGACAAGGAGGACCATAAAAGTCAAGAAGAAATAAAAAAACATTACAGGATTTACACAAGGGCTGGACTGAGAAAGACTGATAATAAACTTCATTCATGATTAATTAAATAAAATATAAAGTGGGGCTAAACATTAAACGTGAGTTGATGCGTCCAACAGCAGCAGACGCCCATCATTAGCTCCCATGATAAGATGACCACTAACACAAATGTGGACAATGACAATAAAAAGTGAATAACAAACACAGTACACCCCTATACAGTACGGGCTGATATAATGATGTGCAGAGCGTTCCCTCGGCACACATTTAGCAGCAGTTGAGCATTACATGAGCAACAGCCTTTAAATTGTCTTGCTGACCAGGAAGATACTTCATGGATGCAATCTTTCCTTATTTATGCAACATGCATCCGATAATGTGACATTTCCAGCACTCGTATGGAATATTAAACAAGGCACTTTGCTCATTAGGTCAAGCCTTTAAAAGCAGTCAGGCTTTTAGGCCTAAAGAAGTACTATATTTGTTTATTATAACCATGATATACAACTAGTTTTAACAGCCTATTATATTTGCATGAATAACTTCCAATTGCATCACAGAAATCAAAGTAGGTGTGCAAAATGTTGTGTCGCAAAAATAAAACAATAGGAACATTTAGCATTTACTTGGAGTTGGGGAGGGGATCACAAATTCTCCTTTAACAGTCTTCAATGTCAAAAAGGAAAATAGGCACAGTTGTTAAAAGAAATACAGGCTTGTGACAATCAATGGTTGACTTGAACATACAGCAAAATCACAAAAATAACCAGAAAAGACAAGGTATGTGAATTTGGATTTTCAAATATACCTGAGAGCAGCACATAGTTACAGTATGGCTTCATTTTCAACATTCAAATCTTTTGAAATGTACTTCTATACCATGTTTAGTCCTTAATTATTCTTGTTGTGAGATAGTTTAATAGTCTGAGACAACTTAGTTTGTATTTCCCCTTAAACCCTAATGATGAGGTTCCATTGTATCCATCATTACTATGTTAACTTAGATATAGAGATCAGTTTTACTCTTGGTTTGTCGGGAGTTTAAGGTAAACTGCGAGATAAACGGGGAAAAAAAGAATTTTGGTTTCTTTTTTGCATCTTTTAGACACGCATGTTTCTCCTAAAGACTTTGGAGTGATTATGTCCAGCATATGATTTGGATTACATTACATCGTGTACACTTTGGTTAAAATCATATATTAAAAAAGGGCAAAAGCAAGTCATGATATTAAAACAATCCTAATTTAGAATTCAGCTTTTCAAACTGCTTCTCCCAACATGACAATTCAACTGTTTTGGATTTAGCTTCAGCAACATGTTTGGAAATGTAATCATCCCATTATTCCTATTGCAGCTTTGCACAAAACATGGCGTAATGAGTCCATGTCAGAATATGAACTCACACGTGTACTGAACCACACGTGTAAAGCAGCTGATTTAAGTAAAGGCACTGTTCATTCAGTGCACTACTTCTTTCGTTTTGGAAGACTATGTGCGCATGTCTCCCTCTCACCACTGAGTGTCAGTAACACACCGTTGATAGGAGGTACAGCAGACCTCCGGTGATGAGCAGTGCGTCTCAGCCTGCTGTCACATATCTATTGCTGATAAGAGGGTTCACTTGTTGGCTGGCATTTGCTCTGATTGGATTTTAACATTCATTCTGGTGTGACCCTTTCTTTGGCATTCTATGAACTTTACTCATAGTGCAGATGAGAAACGTTTTCCCTATGCAAACCTCTGGATTTTCTGAAAAACATGAATTATAAAGCACTTTAAGGCACGCATGTAAAATTAACATACATTATGTTGATCATTCTTACAGCATGAGCCACAGTCACTTCTACACTGGACTCTTCAAGTCACATCTTGGAGCATTTTGATGTGGAGGTATTTAGTATCTCATCTCCAAAAATGTACCAGAGCTCAATTATTCGTCCATGCTCTGATTTCTCCGCAGTTTTTTCTCCTCTCTACTCAGCCACTGAGGGGGTGCAGGTCCACTTTGACCTTCTCCCCAGGGCTCATCATGCCTATAGTGGGGTACAAGCCCCCCACAGGTAAGGCCACGTCCCTCCGGCCCACCACCTTTCCATTTCTGGTGAAGAACACCTGTTAAACACAAGGGGATAATATGAATATTTGTACACTTAATTTTTAAATGTATACAGTATTCTTATACTTTTCCTGACTGTGTTTGTATACACCAAAGCACATTCCTTGTATGTGTAAACCTACTTGGCTTTTAACCTGATTCTGAAGGATTTAAGAGTCCCTATTTTATATTCCTCTTGAAAGCATCTTACCGTGACCTTCCTCCCCTCCAAATCTTCTCCCTCCTCCTCCTCCTCCTCCTCTTCTTCATTGTTCGCATACAGATCATTCTGAACTTCACTGGGTTTGGGAATAATGTCAAAGTCCCAATCATCTACGTCATCTGAGAGAACCCAGACAGAGAAATAGAAAGAAAGCTTATAAGAGATCGAACATGCTGAGGCACAGTGCTTTTGGAAACATTATGAAGACGTTCACCTCCAGCGTCCAGGCTGTAGTCGCGTGGAAACATGATCCCACAGCCCATAATATTCCCTTCAAAGCAGCGCGGGCCGAACGCGTGCCCGACCCCGCTGCCCTGGAACAACTTTCCATCATCTGCGAAGAACAACAGGGGCGTCGATCAGTGCTTTGTGTCACATGCGTGTGGGCGTGATACACTCAAGACACAAGACAACATCTGCCTCTGCTAACAACATCTTTCTGTTGGGTGGAGCAGTGTAAACTAATATCCGTCCATTTGTTTTCTGAGCCACTGGTCCTGCTCAGACAACTACAGACAGACAAACTCATTCCCACTCAGCCCTGCAGGCATTTGAAAGTTTCCAGTTGGTCTGACCTGCTGTGGGATGAAACCAGAGCAACAAGAGGAAACCAAGGCGAAACCCAGGGAAGAACAAACATTAAGTTGGAGCAATTACACTCACAAGTTCATTGGGAACTCTTTTCTGAAATACACTTTTTTGGCTGGTGGAAGACAGCTTTTACATATTCAATTATAACTGGCATGGCAACCAATAAATAATACATGTGTAGCTTATATTATTGCCAGAAACATGAGACAAGTTGGTGCTCTTAGTGATTGCTAACCGGTAATGTGTACAGTACGAAAACATAAGAAAGGATATGTAACACTTACACTGACCACAATGACAATGGCAGTTTAATATGGTTTTAATTTGAATGCAGAACTATCACATTGACAGATCGACATGCACCATCACGACTGCACTGACCTGCATGATAGGCTATAGACCCTCTGCTCCAGCCTGGATGTCTGTTTTTGGGGTAGTCCTGTGAGACAAAGGAGAAAGAGACATGTTAAGATCGATAAGCACACCCTCAAGTTTCTTTTCCTCTCTATATTTTTGTATTGAATTGGGGAGACAGACTCAAACTTCAAAACAAGATTTTGCTTCATGAATAACAAACATTGTTTGTAGCTTTTGGCATCCAGAAAATGTCAGTGTTTAGACTGAGGTGTCAGGAGGTTAGGAATCCCAGGTGCAGAGAGACATGACAACTGTGCTGTGAGGTTAGCTGTTAGCTCACTCAATTGTGAATATAATATGTCAATATAATGTCTTTAGGTAATAAATATTTTGATTGGGATATCTCAACAAAGGTATTTTTGATTATTATCTTGAGGAGTTTTACCTAATTATATTGACATATTGGACAAGCTGCAGAAAAAAAGACATCATCTATTGGTTTCCTTATTAATCACTACCATAACACAGTTCATTGGGTTGGCTACCAAAGTGATTTGTAACTGAAAATTGCTCAGAGGCCCAGGCAGCTTAAATAAAACATCAATAACTGTGAGTCTGTGTTTACGGTGCAGAATCCATGCAGAAAGTTGAGAAGTCTGCTCACTGCACTTGTTTATTCCCAGTAAGTGGAGATGGAGAACATCATTTCCATTTAAGACCCCTAACCTTAATCCAGTCCAGACAACTATTTGCTTCTTCAAATAGAGCTAGACACTTTGTATCTAGCTTTGGGGAAAGTGTCATTTACAGAGGGTTTGATGGACAAACTAAATCATCTGCGGCAACTTTCAGGGAGGGATTCTTGAATTGGATTTCCTGTAATAAAACAGATGACACCTTACAGTGAGAAGTCTAAGTAACCATATAAGCCCTTGTGAGAAGTGCACTGATATGATGATGAGCACAGCAACAGGTGAGATAAAGCATGAGAAGATAAGACTGAAGCAAAACCATAGAATTAAATAGATAAGGTGCGTAGAAGAAAACAGAGAAAATAAGCCTTTTCGCCTGGAGCAACAGAAGAGAAAAGGAATGCACTGACAACAAATGCTTCTTCATCCAATATAAGCAACCGTGGAGCAAATTGAAAAAGTGAAGCATGCGTTACCACGAGACAGAGAGACACCTTTGTTTTGATTTCTGCAGCGAGAGGTAATGCTTCCCATCAGCAGACTGGTGCGTCTTGCATGAGTTGACGGAAGGGGGGGGGGGGGACAGAACGTAACCTCAGGAATGACCATTTGAAGGATTTACAATGCTCCTCCAAAACCGCAGACACGTTGACAAATACACTTCCTGGGAAACAATCAGCGAAATGACAAAGCTCTATTCTCCACCAAGTGTGACCCGAGGGCGCTGCGTGCACAGACGACTGGCGAGGAGTCGGAGGAAGTTCAAGTCCTTCAACAAGTCTTCTCTCAGTCCTAATTTATTTACAAAACACGGATCAGTGCTTGCTGTTATCTTTTATGATTTAATATCACCTCGTTAATTAGGATTAAACCTTTAATTGCTTAGCCTGAGGAACTCCTGCATACTTTGAATTCCTTTTTATTCTTTTATCTTCGAGGGAGTCGAATAAAGCTGGAACAAAGCGAGCTAAGATCAGATATTCTCCTCGCATCTTTTCAATAACCTCTCATGAACCTGACTGCAGTGTTGTAGTCGACATGGTAGATTAGCATGTAAATGGAACAACCTGCTTTCTATGGAAGACCAGATGCTGGGGTAAAATGAGACAATATTTATTCAGTTGTTAGCTTTTCCTCTTTCAGTCATCCATCACTCAGACTGGAAACAGTGAGAGCAGCGGTGCACATGAGGAAACGCGATGACGAGGTGAGGGGGGGGGGGGGGGGGGGTTTCTGTTTACCGACAGAAAACCAGCAGAGTGTGGGGAAAAAGTGATATGGTGTGTCATTGATAAAGACATGTGTGATCAGTAGTGTTATGAATGAGACTGTTACCCTGCGTGCCAGCCCCAGGGCGATGTAGCACTTCTCTCCAGGGTCTGTGATCTCCAGCTCGTAGTAGTGGAAGCGCGTGTTGAGGGGCCGCCGGGCCTGAGCCAAGCCCACGTCCACGATGCTCTTCCCCTTACCCACGTACTCCAGCAGCTGTGGAAACAACACAGTCACCTCAATCTTATCTGGAGACAGATCATCTTCTTATGAGATGACCAAGACCAAAAAAGAGCCAAAAAAGGGATTATTAGATAGGTTTATGAGGTGGCCATAACAATGGACAGCAACTCAGATCTATTGTTCCTTACTGTGCTTCTTAACCCTTTAGAGTCCTGGGCTAATTTGGCTGTCTTCGCATACTTTAGATTTTTCTTACCAAACCCCATTAAGAAATGTTTAGCATGTCAATGTTTGGTATTTATTTTTTTAAGACAACCTCACCTATATAAACTGATAGTTCTTTTTTACATACTATATGAACATTTTGGACCCAAAATTGCAAAATATTTGTGTATCAACTTTAAATCATCGTATCTACGGTTTTACTGGGTCTATTTACATGAAACAAAGACTGGCATAGAGTTTCAAGCCAGTACTTTCGACAAAAGCAGCCGGCAATGTTGGTGCGACTGTTGTTTTTATGCAGTGTCGGCACAGGTCACATGATCTGATCACACCGGCGTGACGGCCGACTCCTAAGGGTTAATGTGTAAATACACTTTCTTGTCGAAGTGTTTGTTACTGCATACAATATGTCTTAGCCACAATTACTTCGAAAGATGATAAAATGTCAGTGTTGTGTATTACAAACATTGACTCATAAGTAATAAAGCACATCCTTACTCAATCCAATACACTTGGTTCTACAGCCTAATTTAGTCAAGTATGAACATATTGGTGGCTGATGATAGAGCTAAATATCTAACATAAATGCATCAATAAGCTTGTTTTATGACACTTTTGTGTAATTTGTGATATTTGGCTATAAATGCGATTTGATTTGTTTCACATAAAGCATCGTATCATATTTGTCACTTGCGGCCTCAATAGCTGCTGTTCACAAAAGTCACAGAGGCTTGCTTTAAAGGTGGGGTAGGTAAGTTTGAGAAACCGGCTCGAGATACACTTTTTGTTATATTCCATGGAATGCTCTTAACATCCCGATAGCAATGAATATCTTAAGTGCTTTGACAAAAAATCCATAAAAAATGTCATCTGTGGAAGCCGTAATACTGTAAAAAGCACGACCAATCATTTTAGCCGGCCCGGCTAAAATGATTGGATGGCCTACCTGCCTGTCAGCCTTCCATCTGTGCACAAACTTATATCGTGCCCTCATTGGTCATGTGCGCGTTCCTGTGTGTTGGAGGAGGGGCTCTATAAGGAAGTGGCAGATTTGTTCCGGCTGTGTATTTTCAAATTTTAGCGCACTCGAGCTGGTTTCTTCAAAATGACCTACCCCACCTTTAAGCAGTGTATCTGTCCCATATGGAGAGCAGAAGTCTTGCCCCGTTCAACCTCACAATCTTCTGGGTCTTCTTACTATTTACATAAATAAGCGTAAACACTGCCTAACTATTGTCAAGCAGGATGTTACACCAACTGTATACTTAGGCATGTCAATAAAACTGGAGGAAGAATTTATTCAATTATTATAATGACTCCTGAGTTCGGCCCAGTCACTAGCTAGTGTTAGCTTGTCTGATGTGCACTGCTGCCTTCCTCTCATGCTGATAGAGACATTAGTTACATAAGATGAAAGAACATGTTTTATTACTCAATTATCCTGTTGCATGCAATAAAAAAAAAAAGTGGTCATGATTTGGATTAGTCATCACTGACTGCTCCAAACAGTTTGGGTACGGAAAGCCAAGAAGATAACATTACTGTTTACTACAAGCAGCAGAGGATAACATCAACAGCAGGAACACTGGGTCCATTTCCAGAGTGACCTTCTCAAATGTCATCAGAGCAGTAGCTGAACACAAGGGAACGCAATACAACTGGCTGAAGATAAAAAGCTAGGAAACATATCTGAGCGTCGAGGGCCAACATCTAATTACTACCATGGTTGTCGATTAGCAAAGTTAAACCCACTCCTCTATCATTAAGAAGCAGCAGGTTCCTTGGAAAGAGGACATTCAGACTCATTTTCAGATTGTTTGTGTCCTCTTAATCTCTTTCTGGCAGTCAGCACAGCCTCATGAGGTAAACAGGCGCTCCAGTGCATATGCAAGTAGATGAAGAAACCCAGAAACAGAGATTGTTTGATAATAGAAACACATCAAGCTGTAATCCAAAAACGTAAACGTCACAATTAAAACAGCTTTCTTGTGTAATTGATGCGCTGCAGGGGAGCTCAGCCCTGCATTCATACAGGACGGGGCCACATTGGTACAAATGAAGGATAATTAAATGTGCGGGTGGCATAAGGGTACTGCCTGAAGGCTAGTGAGCCGCGATCCCCTCCCATCCTATTCCTATTCAGGTTTTGTGCGTAATATGTCCTGAGTCAGACACAAACACTGCAGGCCTGCCGTCACAGGGAGGGTGGAGTCCCCCGCAGAGAGAGACAGGGAGAAACAAACTGAGAATATCTGCTGTTCCTCTTATCAGGTATCTAGCAAAAGATAATAATTACGTCTATTTCTATATCGGTTATCTGAGACTTAAGGGTTTGTCATCTAGGTGTTTGCACTTTGCCTTATTCATCGTAAATCTGGACAATCCTTTTTAGTGTTATTTAAATAAACCAACAAGTTTGAATAAAGTCAAGTGAATAAACAGCGTTGGACTTAAATCTGTGTGTCTCGGGTCCTGGACATGATGGCCAGAGAAACACTTACCTCTCCAAAAGCAACGTTGCACTTACCACTGCACAAATGTATTTTATTTGATTATTTACATGTTTTTGCATCATTCATACTTATCAAACATGTCATTAGCACTACCCCGCTTGCACTGACTGAACCATAAACACTGTTTCATTATTGCTACTGTACATAAAAAGTAACTGTACATGTCTTTTATACTGTTTTACTGTTTGTACATTAAGCCTACTATTACATTCTCTAACTCCACTTATCCTATGTTGGTACATATTTAATGATTTAAATGTATGAAATCTGTATATTGCTATTTATAACATCACTCATGTTGTAGTGCTTACATACTTCAGTAATGAATACATTAGTAAATGCACTTCTGGCTAGAAGATACCTGCTTTAATTGGCCTGTTCCTGTACTCGTATGTCACTGAGTGGCAGACCTGCTCACAGTAGAACTTTTCTCAGCAACACTTACCGTGCCGGTCACCTTGACGTCATGGAGACGGCTCCAGTCCTCTTCATGACTATCCACAATCATCTGTCCATCGTCTTCCTCCACCCGCCACTCAGCCTTCAGGTCCAGCAGAACTTCTTCCCCCAAAGAGTGCATCCCCACGGCGGGGTAAAAAACGTCAGGAGAGCCTGGGATCTCCACACTGCCGACCTAGGCACACAGGCACAAACTGTTTTAGCTTTGAACTCCGAATACATTAATATATAAATGTGTAACGGCTGAATACATTCTGTATGAGGTGAATCATTTCAGGGTGAAGTAGCACTTACCTCTTTGCCATTCTTTGTAAAAAACACAGTGAGCTGTCCATCATCAGAGTCCAGAGATACGCCACAGCCGATTCTGTCTCCTCTGCAGCATTTTGGACCAAACTGCTGTCCTACAGTGTTGCCATTGTACAATCTGCGGAAAGACAAGAAGGGAAGGCTCAAGAGATTCAGATTTTGCCAATTTAGACACTAGAAAACCAGAAATATATATTTAATATTTCATCAGATGCAGTGATACAATGTTTTTTAAATATTGCAATAGTCAGATGTATCAACATTTCCCTACTCCTAATAAAAATGACCAGACATTATATTATTTCCTAGAATAAAGTCCACCTGTATAATAAGAACTAATGTGTAATATCACATACTTGCCGTCATCAGCATGAAAGGCCACAGAGTGGGGGAGCCAGCCCGGCTGATGGTCCAGATTGTAGAGCTTAGTCACCAAGCCCACCGCGATCATTCCCCTCACTCCTGTGTCGACGATGGTCACCTGAACACACCACAGGTTGAATTATCTCAGAGAAACTGCAGTTAAAAATCACATTTCCCAAGGTGGTTTTATTCTTGTTAGGGACTCCAAAAAAACAGACTATCTTGAGGATGTGTTAAAATGGTAATCACACCAATGTACCTTCTCGATGATGTGAGGGGTCATACACATTGTTCTTACACATATTAGGACGTCAATCATGAATTCAAAAGCAGCTCTTTTTACATCCAAAACAACAGGTCATGAACTACTGGTTACACATAATGTGTGGGAGGCTGTTTTCTATTGTGCATAAGCAGAGCAAACCTTGTTAAGCCAGAAGAAAAGGACTGAGGAGGAGTATGAAGGGAGGGTGGAGGACACAGATTATTTTCTTTCTTTTTTTTATCCGACATCTTCTTTCTTTGTATTTCTTTTGTTGGATGTGGTCATACAGTATGGGTGATTCAGGCAATGAAATACAAATTAAAAAACATGCACAGAACGTGTATCTTATGGTCACAAATAAACAGATAAAGTAATCCTGTTTATTAAGCTAATACGGCATTTGATTGTAAAAAACAAGACTAAGAGTTGAATCTTGATCATTGAGCTAAATGCTAATTCTAGCAGGCTCTTAATGAAAAGGCTACCCTGCTGGTATAATGATTAACAAGCAAATATACGCTTTCTAACACACTTAAGTACAGGTAAGGCTGATGGGAGTACTAGTATTAGACAAATATATGTTTGATGCTGGTGCTGCTACTGGTGTCGGGGGTTCCCCAAAGCCAGAAGAAATTATTCTCTGCAGACCAATGGTGTGCGTTTAAAATAGCATTACAATCCATCCCATAGTTGTTGAGACATCTCAGTTAAAGTGGTGAACTGACTATTCTCCTAGTTGTACAGACATTATGGTAGGAGGCAACTTAAAGGTTACAAAATGTCCACTTGGCTGCTTCGAGTATATATGCTAGAAATGCTTTCGGTTTCTGCTCCTTCAGGCCACCCCGAGACAACTTGCTGTTGAGTTAGCATGACTTCTCCTTTTATATCATGTCATTTCCAAGTCAACTTAAAATGATATGGCCTCTCTTGGTTCAAAACTGCATGTTTGTTCAAAGTGAAAACCCTGAAGTAAAGAGCTGGCCTTCAGCATTGTTATCATAACTGAATACTGGCCACATGCCATCCTCCCTGGGGAGCCAGACATGCAATCGGAGCGCTGCTGGCAAGTCCAGGGCAAAGAGCAGAGGAAACTTCTCAGTTCTTTCCCAGATGAACATGCAGCCGAACCCTAAAATCTACCGTCAGATCTACCAGCAACTTCTTAACTATGATTTATTAGCTTCTATATCCATTTACGCAGAAAGCTTTTCACTCCTCCTGCGTGACTCCCACAAAGTGAGTCACAAAATACGCAAGAATAAAGGCAGAGTGGGTTAGCTAGTGTTTCACTACACGTCAGACCGGGGCAGGATGTGTTTGTGTGTTGGACAAGTTTCAACATGGTTTATCCTGAGAAACAGTCACTGTGCTCCGGCTGTTTTTGAACTACAGTGTCTAGACTATCAACATTCGCAAAAAAACACAGCACAGGATTTGTAAAGAGCTGCATATTATTTTGGCTTTGTGAAACCAGTTTGTCAGGGTCCCACGTATGGGATGAAGGCGGCACACCCATCAAGTCAACTACCATCACTGACTCATATATACAAATATATGTACGAAGCAGCTGTGAATGTAGTGTTAGTTCAGTACTGACACTTCATACTGGCTGCTGGCTGAGGCTGTTTACAAATAACAATCTGCCCCCAGGTGACTAAGACTTGTTGATAGCATTCAGCACAATATCATGCATGCAGCCATTAAGTAAATATTTCTCATATTGAAACAAGTCAGCTATAAACAGAGGCTTACAGGTCAAAGATGTTTAAACGTACATTATCTTAATTAGCTAGCTACAGCTAGAAGAATCTGCCAGCATCAGCTGTACTGTTTATTCCGCCTTCAGAATCGATTGTTTCTGACTAGAGACATGACGGATGTTTTTGTCTGCCTCTGTCTGAATTCAAGGAATGGTCTTTTAAAACATGTACATAGAGTTTCAAGTTCAAAATATGCCCTTATGATCATTGTGAATGAGATATTGCAGGTGAAGAGCTTGAAGGCAAATATGTGTGTAGGGCTTAAAACACCCTCTGTATGAAGTGAAACTATGTTCATAGCCTGAACTTACAACAGAAAAACAGAGCATGAAATGTGGCTAATGAATCAATGTACTGAATATCTGGACGACTAAAACTCTTTCTGCTTGGTCTCCTCTTTGAACTAAACATATATTGTTGTCTCTTCACAGTCACAAAGGTTTTACAATTAAAATGATGTGATTAAAATACGTGCACATTGTGAGTTGACTGAACAGTGTGTCATTAAAGTATTTTAAGAAGTGATGTTCAGGATGCACAGCTTAATGCTTCTGACTTTGGGGTAAATGGTTTTGGCACACAGTTCACTCCTGGTTTGAGTGTAGAAAGAGCTTCCAAGTGATGCAACACATGTGTTTCCAATATGAAAAACGTTGTTTCTCATGAACAATGCTGTTCCAAGGAATTATTGTGAATTATTTTACAGTAAGGCTCATCAAGATGAAGGAAAGCAGTCAGACACAATTTGCTGCCAACTCTCCTGTTATCAACACAAAACATGGGCTGTGTCCTAAAACTATTGTAAAAAATGTATGCTACATAAAGCTAAATATGTATCTTCTTCACTGCTGTGACAGTTTCTGTACAAAAATGTTGAATGCACTTTCTAGTCCCAGGAAATGAAATGCTGACAGTTTCTAACACACTGCAATGTTTTTACCAAAGAAATTACATTTATTTTTGTTTTTAAATCTATTTGAGCTAAACCCAACATCATGTGGAAGAGCTAAAGTTCACACTGAGACTCGTGGGGACACAATGTGAATGATCAAGCCTTACTTCAAAATAGCGATTTCCTAAGTACAATGGCCTGGCCGCCACAAAACCGCCAACTTCATCTGAATTCCCATGATACCTACGAAGAAAAAAAGAAAATATAACAAAAATCTTAACTTGCAAAATGCAAACAAAGTGTGATGCTGATTCAGCAAACAAAGGAAAAGCTCTGGCATAAAATATGGAACTAAAACACAAAAATATTCTGTGTCTCACACACTTGGTACTCATCACTGTTACCTGAGTATGTCTCCGTCTCTCAGCACCCTTTGGAGTCGCTCCCGGTAACGCTCCCGGTGAGGCACCGCTTGCACATCACGAATTTCTCCAATTCGCCTCCTCCAGTTCAGAAAGCGATAATGAAGGTTTATGTCGTCCATGTCTGAAAATCATTACAAACTGGCACACAGAAAAACGAATCAAAAGAGGTTTTACTGATTTAGAGAACATTATTACAAAAGCAGCCCGAGTAAGATTAGTGTTTTTCATTGTTGAAAAATCTGCACTGAAAAAACTGAAACGTTGACTTTAATTAAAGGTGGGGTAGGTAAGTTTGAGAAACCGGCTCGAGATACACTTTTTGTTATATTCCATGGAATGCTCTTAACATCCCGATAGCAATGAATATTTTAAGTGCTTTGACAAAAAATCCATAAAAAAATGTCATCTGTGTACTGTACTGCCGTAGTACTGTAAAAAGCACGACCAATCATTTTAGCCTGCCCGGCTAAAACAACTGGATGGCCTACCTGCCTGTCAGCCTTCCATCTGTGCACAAACTTATCTCGTGCCCTCATTGGTCATGTGCGCGTTCGTGTGTGTTGGAGGAGGGGCTCTGTAAGGAAGTGGCAGATTTTTTCCGGCTGTGTATTTTCAAATTTTAGCGCACTCGAGCTGGTTTACCTTTAAATGTATGTCAACAAATGTCACATAACTGTATTAGGTTGGTTGAAACCAATATAATTAAGTTGAAGCTATTTGAACTTTAGATAATTGCTATATATATGATATTATTCCGTTTTTTCAGTGTGTTGATTATTTGATTAGATAGCAGCAAAATTATGAAAAGAGTAAATGTATAATGGAATTAGTTGGCTAATAATTGTATAGTCGACAATTTGCCTTTTTATCTTTGCAGCTCTAAACATTAGATATTTGCACAAAGAAAAGTTAAGTAGATAATTTGTGCCTCAGGTTTTTTTCAAATCACCGACGTTTGTTCAGTGAATTGTTATAGCCACAGAAGCTTGTCGGGAACAGGGATAGCTTTAAGACAAACAGCACAGGTCCTCCTTAAAACCAAAGCAAACCCCTTAACCACAACATGATTATCACTGTTGCCTGACAACGTCGGTCCTCAGGCCAAACCTTGCCTGTGAGGAGTTGATGTGTTTGTGTTTTTCCATTTCCATTTAATCCCACATTCCAGAGACAAGCAAAGGCCTGGACAGTGATTGTACACTGCCAACAGGCACGAACGGGAATCCCTTGTTTGTATTAGCCCTATGATGGTCAGGTGTCTCCCTTGGGTGTCTTCCACTCCATATGAACTCCAACTGACTCAAGTATAGACTGGCTCCCAGCACTTTGGTAGCCGGGTGGTTAAAGCCATATAACCGTAAAGTCTTAGGTTTTCTACTCTCTACACCCATTTCTACTTTGTCATCCGTCAAATAAATGCAATAAAGCCTAAAAATTATCTTTAAAAAAAGGATGAAGGATAAACTGGCTTATCTGCTAATGCTTGTGTAAAAGCAAAACTATGAGTCAGTGTTTCTGGTCTTTTTCTCTCTGAAAAACAGCAAACCTGTTTTCCAACACTTGATAATGTAGGACTGCAAGCAGAGATTAGATTAATTTAATACCTAATCCTTTAAGAATGACATTAATCGTACTATTAGTTTCACAATGTATCATCATTTAGTCAATAAAGGCCTAAAAAATAGACCATCCCTTTAAACATTAAAACAAGAAAAAAAGGATATAATACATTTGAAGATAATCTTTCTGTCCATCAACTAATCACTTTACCCATCAGCTCAACGCTGGAGCATTTATTATTACCTTTTCAAATTCATAAATTATTATTTAAATGCAAAATATGTTTTCGCTGGTTATTCATAGACTGTATATTATATTATTACGGTAGTATGGTAGGAGACTGTATATGGTAGTATTATAAAGACTGACGTCAATTGTCAAGTAGTTTCGTTGCTTGAAAAAAATGTCGGTTCCTTGAAATAATGGTCTTCATCTTTTCAAATTGATTACAAAACAAGTTCACAGCCATAAAAAAATATGTATAATATAGTGTAGGATCCAACTGATCATATGCTTTTGTAAAATAAACTAATATGCTAGCGATCACCTTATATTTGTATTTGTAACGTGTAAACTTCTCCGATATTTCGTTTTACGAGTCGACCCTAAACGCAGCATTGTATTTCCTAAACTACAGACAGGACTCGGTTGGCCGGCTAGCTGCTTTCAGCGGTACGACGTTAAGGCTAATAAGGTACTATAAACAGGACTATATCTCAGGTTAAACACAAGGTATTCACACCCGCTTTGTTTCATGTTGTTCCTTACTGTTTTATAACTTGTAATGCGTCGTCCTTCAGGTTTTCTTCCAATTTTAAGGAGGTGAAGTCTGTCACTTTATGTCCAACCTGCGCCGTCGGATGTCCCGCCCTCTCAACCAATCACATCACAGCATACACAGAGTGTGTAGTCCTTAACCTGTGAACTGCCGTGTGTTTTTGTAGTCTTTCAAAAGGTTTTACAGATTGTGTTTAACATATGATTTACACGAACATTACACATAAAACTTGAAAGAAAAAACGTACTAAAAAGAGGCACCTTTACCACATTGTTTTCTTTTCCTATACGTATCCCACTGTTTTTTAAAACAAATAACAATGTATCTGTTAGTCTCTATACGGAGTATTTACAGTCATATTTAATGAAGAATTGTATACTTTTAGAAAGGCAAGAATCACAGAGTAGCCAAAGTTGTTATCTTTAGTTAAAATAACGAGGATTGAAAATATTATTTTCCAAGTCAAGATGACAACATTTCCACATATATCCCTTTTGACTGATACCGAGTTCACAGATAGTTGTGCAAGTGTGAAAGAAAGGGATTGTTTGCTACTTTGCTAAAAGTGATGCAATGTGGCAATTGTATTAGATTGTTTTCCTTCAATTGTTTGTTGTGATAATGATATTAATCATAAAATTGGCTAGTACATTTTCACATGTTTTTATTAAGAAGCTGCTACAAAAGCTTCATAACAATTTGGATTGTGTTCTTTTTGCCAAAAAATCCACAATACCTTATCAAATTAATGAAAACCATGAATTCATAAACCCATGCCTAATACATCCAAACACAGTAAAAAAAAAATGTGTTGTTTCACAGTGTTATTATATTTTCACATCAAGTAGTCTAACGTGTACTTTAAGTGACATTTATGACAAGTTCTGAGATTGTGTCTTCTAATTAATCTGTTTGTGACTCAGTGGAATTTGCAGGGTGGGACTTTTTGCTCATGGCCATTAATGCCTTAGTCATCCAGCGTTGAGTGGCACTCCTTCAGCCTCTCTGTGTGTCGGCCCTTTCCTCTGAATCTGTAGCCCTGCAGTCACAGACTGTCAACACGCTTTAGGAACAAAGTGTTTGTTTAGTGGTTGCTATTTAAAGTCAAAACAAAACAAGGATGAACATTTTGAACAACTAAATACTTAACACTGCTTAAATTATTCATATTTTTCCCCCCAGTAGGTTTAGTCATGATTTGTGTTTTTTTACTGAATTTATATTCATTTTAAATAATGTTGGGTCACTATAATCATGAACTGTAAATAATATGTATTAGTGTTAAGGTGGAGCTAGGTTTGCATTGTCATAATCCCCTTATAGGTTTTGTATATCAAATATACAGCATTAATATATAAAATAACTTTTCATTTTGTGTATAAATATATGAAAAAAGTACTATATTTACTTGAGAAATGTAAAATGTACAACTACTGTAAAAGTACAGTAAAGACAATTCTTGAATAAATGCTGATGGCTTAGCTTCTTTATTTTATTTTGTGCTTTTCCTTGAGGTCATTTCAACTACAGCTACTGGTGGTATTACATTGCATACATGCAGGTTACATAATTCAAATTGATTAACCCTTGATTTAAAAGCCTAAATGGATAATATCTCATCTGCTGAGCTGTGATTGGTTGGTTACATAAAAGTGCCTCCTCGGTTAATAAATTATCCTCTCAGTGGGGAGCAGGCAGAGCAATGGAGTAGCATACATAGCAAACACTTGTGATTTATGTGGTTTTAGAAACACATTACTATCCTGCAGGATGACAGACAACAAATGGTATGAGCATGCGTGAGTGAGTTTTGGAGACAAGGGAAACGGGGTGTGCTCAGCTGTGTGAAAACAAGAGGGAAAACTAACATTCTCCATCACGTACCCTCCCATACCTTTTTCCCACTGGTTTCGACTCTTTAAAAGCTGCTGCCAGTGTTGTCTCTCAGCCTCATTATCACTTTGCCTGGGCTTGAGGGAATTACTATCCAGCTTTCTAAACACAGGCACACTTCAGAGGGATTACTTTAGGATCGAGAGGGATCAAAAGTCCTGATACAACGAGTACATTTGTAGGACTGTTACCTTATTGGTGGACAACTTCCAGTGTGAGATGCTTCTGTGTTTAAACATCCTGTTGCTGCTACTCCTCCAGCCGGCTCTGTCGTCCCCAGTGCAGCTGACCACTCCGTCCAGAGGATGTCCCACCTGCAAATCAAAGTCCACACAGCGTCAGCCGGTTGTAGCTTTAAATGCCACCGCTCTGGCCATTGGAGAAGCATGTGGGGTTTACACTCTCAGCTGCGCCCAAGGTCTGCGTTGTGCTCCTTCAGAGGATGAGCCGAGGCCCCTCCGTGCCCTGCTGGAAGGCAGGGGGGTCTGCAGTAACGCCAGCAGCACCAGCCCGACTGAAAGTGTCCCGACTGTAGGTAAGACGAGATTCAAGAAAGTGAGGTTCATGGTGTATGGGTTTCACCAACACTGACCATTTGCTGATTTGTTTGTCAGGATTTGACACAAATTATCAACAAGTGAGCATTCAGTAAATTCCTGTGAATGTCATCCTGAGTTTGGAGTGGAGTGATGAGGACATTTGAACAGAAAAACATATTTTTACACAACGAGTTTCAGCAAAGGAGATGTTTTTATGGCTCAAAGGTCGCAGTATAACTAATGATTTTCAAGATGGGTTTTACTTCATCTAATAGTCATTGTAGTATAATTATTGCTATTAGATAACTGAGTAAAGTGCATTCAAGTTGTTGAGTAGTTGAGAATGGAATGACTGTTGTTTGATTAAAGTGTTTACTTAAGAAGTGATCAAGGCTAAATGTTTTGTCTCTATTTGATCCTAGCTCCAGCATCTACTGAGGATCCGGGTGAGGTAACAACATCATTTTTACTGATTGACCTAAAGAATGCAGAGACATTAATTCAGTCAGGCACTCACATGTGTTTTCAACTCTTACAGCCTCCATGTCGTAAACGTCTAACTACAATTATCGAAGGTCATGATGCCCAAGTAATTAAGAAGGATGATGATATTTACATGCCCAACTGTGACAAGCGTGGTTTCTTCAGAAAGAAGCAGGTGAGTTTGCAAAACGAGAGGAATAATAAAAAGCCTTTCCTACAGATGTGTGGTTGTATTCCCAGCTGAAAAACTATATTTCTGTTTGCTCTGTTTGAGCAGTGTAGGTCATCTCGAGCTAAGCAACGTGGCAAGTGCTGGTGTGTGGATCAGAAGGGTGTGGAAGTCCCCTCAAAAACTAAACAGAAGGGCCCCCTGAGTTGTTGAATGGCATAAAGTCCACAAAAATGAAGCACAGGAGGCTGAAGCTTTATTGCTAAGACGAGATAAAGATGAAGGAACACCAAACAGAGGAAGCTCATCAGAGTCTCACATTTCATTCTCCACCAGAAACAGCTCTCCACCAATGAAAAGCTGTTTCCAAATCTGGTGTAACTTTGTCTCCTTGCGCCCTCTACTGAACATATTAGGACCGTTTTAATTAGACATTCCTTTCATTTCTGCTTATGTGAGATTTAGATCAAATCTATATCTACATGTTCAATTATCCAGACCAGTGTCACATAGAAGTTAGTTGCAAAAATGCCCCCCACGGTTTGAGCGACACATATTTGTGTAAAACATTTTAGCTTCATTAATATTTCAAGCCATCAAGCATTATCAGGAAAAAAAATGTTTGTAATAATGTTTTATATTTGTATATATTTTCAGTATTTGTTTTGACTTTGAAACCACTGTAATTGTATTACTGTGTAATCCTATTTATATTGCTTTGAATATGATATTCTATTTATATTAATATATCTAGTAATTAGATAATTAGACTAGAAAAAGTCATTTATCAGTGGTTGCCCATTAAAGCAGACACTTAAGGTATTATTCTAAACAAAACGTGTGTTTTTATTACAGAATTAGATGGGCATTATTATTATGCTTTTTTGGCTTTCATGAAGAAAACGTGCCTGTCGAACAATAAGAGGAGGTGTGTTTAAGAAAGGTTAAAACTGACACTGATGGGCACTATTGCAAACATGCCCACAAGACACTCTATGGATGCTTTGTGGATTTTGTGCATTTAAATACCTTTTTTTTAACTTTTTAAAATAAAACATATACTGCACAAGTCATGCAAACATGTCTGTTATTGAACATAAAGGAGTTTGAAGGTAGAACAAACCCAATGAACTCATGTATCAATATTGGATTGATGATTTTGCTACAATAAAACAATTTGACAGTTTATTATCTTCTTACTAGCAACACTATGTTGGTTAGGCAAAATGTTGACATAAATGACAAAATTGAAATAACTGCATACGTTTCCATAACATACTTTAACTAAGGTATTTAGTACCTTAGTTAAAGCATTACGTTTTTGTTAAGACAATTATACTGAAAGGTGTTTTATTTTATCAACCTCATCTAGATGAATGAAGTTGTATAACATAGTTTATAAACCTTACAACGGTGGTTACAAGTCATAAGGCTGCCAGGCCCAAAATAAATCTAAAGGGATGATTAAGTGATAAGGGGGTCTTCAAAAATCCTTAAAATTGAGCAACATGAGAAGCATTTATTTATAATTTGTCACAAAATGATTGTATCTTAGTATTTGTGAGGAGGTATATGAAATGATAATGATGAGGATAATGACTATTATCAGTGTTAATATTATAAGTGGCCAATAACATAACTCATTATGTTATACATCAAATAATCTGCAGTGATGACACTATAGTCCAAACATATTGTTGGCATAAGAACCCATTTCAAAATAAAATCCATACTCAAGTGAAGTAGCTTTAGTAGAGTACTTTAGTTAAGCTAATGCTACTTCCCACCAATGAAACCAGTCACACATCACGTGCATGAGATGAGTAAAGATTATTTCTGAACATTGCTACATTTTACCGACTGTAATGCTGATTTAGTTCCGAGTTTTGTCGGTGTTTAGTTTCATAGTGGCCCTGAATGGAGCAAAGCCTGTGGAGCAGGAGGTGTTCAGTCAGCAGGTTGCTGCTGCAGAGACAGACTACAAGGCGGACTTTAGGCTACTTTACATAGACAGGACGCCACTACAGATACAGCTCACCCTGCTCTCAGACTGAGATACAGGTGCCATGTCTTCCCCCGGAGCCACCTCCAGCCCTCTGAGCAGCCTGGCGCCCAAAAGGAAGACCAAGAAGAAGCATTTCGTGCAGCAGAAAGTGAAGGTTTTCCGAGCCAGTGACCCCGTGCTGAGCGTGCTGATGTGGGGCATCAATCACTCGGTAGGTACGTGTTTTTTTTTAATAATTGTAAACATATGTGTGAATATGTGTTGATTTACTCTTCATCCATTGATCATGCGCAGATTAACGACCTGAGCCATGTGCCTGTACCTGTCATGCTGCTCCCAGACGACTTCAAAGCCAGCACCAAGATCAAAGTCAGCAACCACCTCTTCAACAAGTACTGTGCTCCACCCAAATCTGTCCGTCTCATTGTAGGAACCTTCATCCTGCTTCCTCTGATTTGCACAGATTTATTTGTGGCCCCTGATTTATATGCTGGCCTGTGCTTAAAGGAAATCACAGTCCTCCCTTTTGAGAACAACAATGCTTTTACTGCAGTAACAATACCTTAAACACTGTTACAACCATTATTACTTACAATAACTGCCCAAACAATATGATAATGTTGCTTGGCTGGGGGATGGTGCCAAACAATGTATGTCAATGTAATGTAAAATAATGAAAGTGTACACCAGCTTTGGGAATGCATTTTTCTTTTATTTACATATTTAACACAAAACATTGTTTAATTAAACCCCTCAGATAATGTTGCACTGACAGAGGATGAGCAATAATAAGAGAAAGTATAACCACAAAAAGCCTTTTTTTAAATGGGAACTATTTATGAAAGCTGTGCTATACACTGCCTCTAGGTTCAGTTTCCATACTAATAGAGTGTAGAAAACTTGAGGCTTTCAATAATCCCTTAATCCATCCAGGAATCCAGGTTGTGTAAAGACTTATAAACAGAAGTGGGGAGAACAACACAATATCTTTTCTCAAGCTAAAAAGTACTGTTACCTTGGTGAGATTAGTTCAAGTGTGTTTCATGGTGCTTGATGTAGAAAACACTTAAGTGAAACAGCAGGGCATGAAGAGAATTAAGTCAAATAGTTTGATAGTAACCCATGATGGAGTTGTCAATTTGGACAATCGAAAAAGCAGCATATTGTAGCTTTTAGTGGTATTATATACTACAAAGATACACTATTTGTGTTAAATAATTAACACAATTTGAATTGGTTACCGTCTTTGTTTGGATCAAATTCATTTTGTAAGAGAATGTCAGTCAAGCATAAACTGAAATGTAATCCTGTTACTTTTGGGAACAGAAATAACACATTTGAAAAATGTATTCAAAAAATATGTATTTTATGGAAACATTGGCATCTGTTGTGAAGCTCCCAGTCAACAACAGTTGCTAATGATATGCTGAGTGAAGAATGCTGCAGCAGCAAAGTATATAAAGCTGCATTGAATCCTTTTATGTTTTTCTTTCAGAGAGAATCTTCCAGGACAGTTCAAATTTAAAGACTACTGCCCGCAGGTGTTCAGAAACCTGCGAGAGCGCTTCGGTATAGAGGACCAAGATTATCAGGTAAAGCTTCAAATTCAATGCAAATCAGCACTGGATTGTGCGAACAAAAAACCATGGACAGAAAAAACGATACCTTCCCTAACAAGATCTAACTATATGGAAAATAGAGACACAGTATTTCATGAACACTGAGCATAAAGGTTTTTCAGTGTGTGTTTTCTTAAAAAACAGACAATTCGCTGCATCAATTGAGCTGCTCCCTTCTAAATTTGCATTCCTTTGTGTGATATTTGCATGTGCCAGGTGGCAGACAGAGTCGTCGTCTGCTCAGCGCACATTTGCTTAGCCCACAATTGCTATGTGAGGCATACTGTATGTGCGCTTTAATAAATGTGCTGATGAATGCTTAGGTAACACTTTCTACAAAGACCATATCTATAATGTATCATGAGGGCAGTCTTAGTGAATAGTAATGCATGCATAATAATTCATGACTACTCTAACACCCTTAAAAGTCTCTGATGCAGTATATCAACAGCAATAAAATATTATAGATGTGTCTTATAATTGATTATAAATTAAAGTGTCTTATGGATGCTAATGACTCGTTCTAAACTAGAGGTTGACTGATGGGGCTTATAATGTTATGACTATTTATACCGACCTATGCACACCTCAGTACTCAACTCATAGTCTGCTTTAGTACAGTATCAGAAGTGATCATTGTATATGTACAGTACAGAGACGTATTGGTGCATCTATAATAATGTTTCATCAGGAAGTTTTAATAGCTGGTGGTAAATAAAGTGAGACGCATTTGCATGCATTTCATTTCATTAAATAATCTATGCAGAATTATAAGTGATTAGCGTCTTGCATCATAATCAATGATGCAGCATAGGTTATTTTAAATGCATACTATGAGGCTTATAGTTCCTTTTGAGTCTCATCAATAATGTTTAATGAATGCACTCTAGATGTGGTCTTCATAGAAGTGTTTTTTCTTCACATGTGATGCAGCAAATGTCTTGTTACAAAGTGTGCATAAACGCAAAATGCTTTCAAAGTTATAGTATGATAACAATAACATGAGTATGCCTTGTATCTTAAAATGTACATTTGCTTTATAAATAGTGTTTCAGTGTAAAACGGTTGTAAAACAGGTGTAATGGCAGTAAAGGTTTTACTTCGCAGATGCATTGTTCGTTTCATCTCTCATGTTGCCATCCTCTCTCTCACCAACAGGTGTCTCTGGCCCGCAGTCCTCCACTAAAAGACGAGGAGGGGCAACGCGTGGAGCTGCTGCTGACATCATACGACCACACATTGATAATAAAAGAAATCTCCAGTGAGGAGGTGGAGGAAATTCACAACATCCTCTCTGAGTATCACCAGGTAGGACTAACTCAGGGGGGGCGGGAGCTTACCTATGGTAGGAGGTTTCCTTTCACAGTGAGAAACACATCATCCTATAGATCTACATTCTAGTTTGTGACTAGTCAGTATAATCTGAGGAAACATTTCATTAGTCACATATGTTTCCACTCCTTTGAATACCAGGAGCAAATGTGCTCTTTCTGTGATAACCCTGGTTGCCATGGTAAAGGTCTTTACAACATCAAAGCAATAGGACGAGCATTTGAATTTCAAACGGAGAGTTTTTTGACTAGCAGTAATGATAAATGACCAGCGCTCTCATTTCAATTTGAGTTGATAAAGATATAAGCAAACACATGCTTTCATGACTGTGTCTGCTTCTACTGGCCTTCATAATGAGAGAGATAGAAAAGATAAACAACACATTTAACAGGAAATTATATTTGACATTACATTTTGGCTTAAAGAACCCTCAACATTTGAGTTCTGCTTATGCACTGGGTTGTAGTTAAAGGTAGGGTAAGTAAGTTTGAGAAACCGGCTCGAGATACACTTTTTGTTATATTCCATGGAATGCTCTTAACATCCCGATAGCAATGAATATCTTAAGTGCTTTGACAAAAAATCCATAAAAAAATGTCATCTGTGGAAGTAGTACTGTAAAAAGCACGACCAATCATTTGAGCCGGCCCGGCTAAAATAACTGGATGGCCTACCTGCCTGTCAGCTTTCCATCTGTGCACAAACTTATCTCGTGCCCTCATTGGTCATGTGCGCGTTCGTGTGTGTTGGAGGAGGGGCTCTGTAAGGAAGTGGCAGATTTTTTCCGGCTGTGTATTTTCAAATTCTAGCGCACTCGAGCTGGTTTCTCCAAAATTACCTACCCCACCTTTAATTAATGGTTCCATTAGTTTTATTCCAAAAGACCCTTGTTTGTAAAAAGAAGTCCAGTTTTACAGAAGTCTATAAGAAAAAGAACCTGCTTCTCACTTCATGTGTTAACTCAGCAAACATATTCCTGACAAGTTCATGTTCTCACTTGCTAGTTTCAAGGCTTTTTTAATACAACGTGATGTCTATTTTGTAAAAAACTGGAAAAAACAGTATGTGCTTTAGGGCATGACTACCTTGTGATTGACAGGTCTCT